TAAGAGGCAAGAGGCCTTTGATCTCCTGTTCAGCAAAAGCCTTGGGGGTACACTCAAAATTGTCATTTCCTACACAGATCCTATCATGTCCAAATGGCACCAAACAGACCCAACACCACTAAGCCCAACTCACCGAGGTGTCCCATCACACTAGCTGTTAGTTGCCCTGTAAGCTAGCTCTCACCGGTTTCTGCAGGTTACCATGTGGAAACTATGGGCACAGGGACAGTTTGTTTGCCTGCAATTAATAGGAATGGGGACTTGTCATGTCCCAGCTGCTCTGCCACCATTGTGTGCCTGAAATTATGCTATAGTAAATTAATACCGAACCAGGGCAGCCATCTTCTGTTTCATTCCTGGGTAAACTGCCCTAAGTCTAATGTGCACAAGGGACAGTTACCTCAGGACAGCTGAGGTACATTAAAGTCCTGATTTGTGCTAATTGGTGGCAATGGGAGAACTGTTACCATGTAAAAGGGGTTGTGACTGGAAAACTTTTGTAACTGCTGTATTAAGCCATGTCAACAGTAAGTGCTTTTAAGATTGTGGTAATGTACGTGTAGCACAACTGGGATTGTTCTCTAACTTACGAATGCTGCATTGGGATGCCTGCTTCATGAAACATATTGTATTAAATACTGGATAATGACTGTATAGTTGTGCTGTGTTACAACAACCATAGTGCTGGGAGAGAAACAGAGGTTAACAATGGTTCTTCATAGGGTCAACAAATAGTTGAGAGAAAAACACAAGAGCCATGTGCTTTGTTGTCCAGCACATTTTAAAAACATGACTTTTCTTGATATAGATAAGGCTTAATAGGAGTTGCTGAAAATTATTCAGGTTAAATTATGTTTCCAAGTTCCTGTTTTAATATTTCTGTTCTTAATAGGTGTTCAACTAACAATTTAGTTCTGTATTGGTAGTTTTCTGCATGTAGAACTAAAAAAAAAGAGAACTCACTGAAGTTTTATTTAAGTCCTTATTCAAGGCACCTGCAGTAAAGTTGAATAGTGTGCCATATTGTTAAATCACAGGGGTAACACAGCCTATCTTTCTTTCTCTTAAAGGATTTGGCCAACTTCATTCAGGAAAATTTTAAAAGGAGAGAATGTGTTGTCTTCACAAAAGATACAAAGTCCATGTAAGTAACTATTTCCTATATTGTTTTTTCTGGAAGCCAAAGATAATTTAGATCAGGAACAATATTAAATAATGTGACAGTCAAGGCCAATGTTAAGATTTTTGAGAGGTGGCCAATGCCATTATTTCTCGTGCATCACCAAACTCATGTTTTCTTTCCACAAATCTCTTCTGGCTTTTCTTCCTGTCCTGTAAAGTCCAAATAACTTTCCTCCCACTGTTCCTGATGAAATCAAAAGCAAACCATGATGCACACTTAATAGGATGGAATGGCAGATTTTTTTCCAGTTGCTAGGAGGAAGGTGCTGGCCTTTTTCTACTCTGGTTCCTCTTTAGAAAAAAACTGACTAATGATCTTGGATCCTACAGTCCTGTTTCTAGAGATTTTCTACAAGTGGGGTAGCAGTTCCTAACCCACAGATATCTTCCTTTTGATTCACTGGATCTGATGGCTCTGAAATAACAGCTCTCTCTGCAGCCACCTAGAGAGTGGAGCATTGCAGAACAAGAGACCTCAGAGCTGATGCACTCACATACCTTTAGCACATACTTCAGGGCACTTGTACACAGGATGAAAATGTCATTTGTGTGGCTTAATGGCATCACACATTACATGGGCTCCAGTTTTGGGGGCTTTAGATAAGTTTGCATCATTGCAAACTAAAATACAATCTGGATGTAGTTTAGTTTGCAATGATGGATGTAGTTTGCAATCATGGATGTACAATCTGGATGTAGTTTAGTTTTGCAGCTGTCAGCTTGCCCCCTGACCATAGGAGAGGTGGGCAGGCTTCACAGAAAAAAAGGATTGGGCTCCTTTCAGTAGGTGCCTGCAAAAGGCAGAAGTGGTGAGGGGCCTAATTCTCCTCTTTTTTCTGGTGGAACCTACCCACCACTCCCACGGTCAGGGGTGAGGGGCCAGTGGGCTGAGTGGCCCCTGGCCTCTGGTCCTTCTTTCCATGGTGGCAGTACCTCCTGAGGCTGTCCAGGTGGGCTACTAGCAGGCTGGGTGCTGTCCTAGCTTAGAGGGAGCACCTGGCCTGATCCAACTGTTCTCTGATCCTGCCTGCCAGAAGTCTGCCAGGCGCTGCTCCTTGGGTAGGCTCAGGGAAGAGTTGGATCAGGCCAGGTGCTACCTCTGAGGTAGGGCAACACCTGTCCCACTAGCAGCCCACTCAGGTGGCCCCAGGGACTGCCTCCACTGTGGAGGGAAGGAACGGGGTCCTCAGCAGCTTGGGGACCACTAGGCCCACTGGCAGCTTGCCCCCCAGCCATGGGCAGGCTTCGGCTCTGCCAAAAAAAAAAAAAGGATTGGGCTCTCACCATAACACGATGGAAAATTTGAAATGGTAGGTTTCAGTCAAAAACTCACTGTTTCAATTTTGGGGGCATAGAATAAAACACTGAGGACTATACCCCTGCCATGTGTACAAGCACCCTAAGATAATAGGATAGGAGAAAACAAATAGGGATTTAGGGATAGAGCATATCCTGGGTATACATGACTCTCTGAGTGCTGGTGTTTGGCATAATATAAAATGTTACGTAGAAAAAACAAACTTGGACATCACGTCATATAGATCAGATGGAATACTGTTTTGCTACTAAGCTGTTTGTAATATCCAATGGGTAGGGGTCTTCCTAAATCATGGGGGGACTTAACAATTTTCTCATACCCCCTGCCCCACAGTGCTGATTGGTAGAGAGGCCCCAGGGAGGGGAGGGGGGATGGGAGATTGGCTGCCATCTTGATTGCTGATGCCTTCACGTGATCTCACCCCTCAGCGCTGATTGATGAAGAACCTGGGGGAGGGAGGGAGGGACAAGGGGACAGCTACCATCTTGATTGCTGGCTGCCCTTTATGTGGCTCCGCCCCTCTGTGCTGATTGGCAAAGAGGCCAGGGGGTGAGGATAAGGGAGTAGCAGCCACCTTGTCTACTGTTCTTTATGCCATGCTGCTTACCAGCACCTTCCCCTCCCAGCACCTTCATCTCCCACTGGGGAGCCAGCATCTTATTTTAATTAAGTTTGGGGGGTGAGCGGGTAGTTGATTTCTCATGCCCAGGGGAATGGATGGTGACAGCACCCTTCCTCTTGTAGTATCTCCCAGGAGAGTGGGTGAACTACCACACTGGTTACAATTCAGAAAGAACATTTGTGAAGGCATTAGTCCTGGTTTGTGCACTGTTCTGTATTGATTTAACTATTTTGGCTAGCGGTCCAACTTTTTATATCCAAATGCTTGATTCAGTAAACTCCCTAGTGGTTGTATAGTTGCACTAATCCAAAGATAAGTTTAGCCGTATTGTTTAATCGCATTATTTTGTGATAATTGTCTACACAAATAAAAACAGTTTTTTGGACACTAGGAGTGCTTCTTTTCTAGGAGCTTGGGAGGCTTAAATCAATTCAGTTTAAATAGTACAATCATTTTTCAGTGAACAAGGCCTTATGAAAGGGAAATTGAGGCCATTAGTATCATTGTGGATAATAAACAACACCCCATTCCTGTAACAGCGCTGTTTGATGGGTGTTAAGATTTTACTGTCCTGGTTTATCTGAAAGCAAATAAGTCAAAGGAAATTAATCATAAATGTACAAGTGAGGATTTGAGCACAAAGCACTGCTTGCCTAAGGACTGCATGCTCTTTTTTGTGTGTGGCAGGTAGTGGGTTTGTGTATGTGAGAGAAGGGAGCTCTTCCTCTGCAGTGTGCTCTCTCTTTACTTCACAGAAGTCTTTTCTTGGGGTTCTTTCCTGCCTAGTAGATAAGACAGAGTGGTTGGGTGGCCAACTAGTTCTCTTCATATTCTCCTTGGGAAAGAAGGCCCAAGCTAGAGCTGCCTCTCCATTCTGTAGAACTTCACATCTCTTTTTAGGGAATAGTGGATGGAAAATGGCGATCTGAAGCTAAGTTTCATTCACTGGAGGGCAGCAGGTCTTTTTCCATGGTCGGGGATCCCGTAGGCACAATGTATATTTAAGTGCTATGCACTTAAGTTTCCATGTAATATCAGTACCTTACTGCTAAATATTCACACAGCATATCGGGATTTTCACATATGCAAACTATTAATCTTGAAATCAGTCTTGTGTAGTGCTGGGAAGACTATTCCTTTCTTTGTTTTTACTTTTGATTATATAGCTTCATGGAGATGCCCTAGAGCTGCTTTTCTGAAGGCTTTCTAATAGTGAGTTTGTTTTCTTGTTTATAATTTTCTCTCAAGAGAGTCACTATAATCTCGTCAAGTGGAGATATTGACTTTGTAATAAGCACACAGCAAGAAAATGCTGAATCAATAGATCATTGTGGGTACCTTTTTGTGTACAATGCAGACAGGCTTAGGAGTCTAACTATGTTATTTTCATCTGTTACTGGCTCAGACAGACTTTCCTTTGGGCCCACATCCAACAGAGTCCAAGACCGTGCTATTCGGACAACGTTGGATCTAGTGATTTTTGTAGATGTCTTGTTTCAGCAAGAAAATATGGAAACCTTACAAGTTCATCTAAAGCACATGCCAGTCTCTTGAGTAAGAGAATTGATTCATATTCATGAATGAAACAGAGGTGCTAAGAACCTTATTAGTATTCTCTCACTAAATAGACTTGCTGTGAAATAGCTTTTCTCAAGAAATTTTACTTAATGCTATCACACACATTTCCGTGTTCTCATATTATAGGCTAACTATGAAGGTCTCTAGGCAAATTTGTGACCTCATTTTATAGTTTGTTTTGTCTGTTGTTTTTGCAGAGTTTTGCTGAACTTTACAATGACAATAACAGTGGGAAGTCACTCTTACATAATCCAGCATCTGCTTTTTTAGGCATAATTATGTCAAATGAGCCCTTGCCTCATGTAGCCTGTTAACACTGTGTATGGGTCTCAGGCTGTAGCCTGCTAAAGCAGTTCATATAACTTACTGCAGTTACTCACAGAAAACCTTTTTTAGTCTTTCATAAGCTCTGTGTACTTTGTATTACCAATGTCTGCTCCAGCAATGCTAGAATGTCATGACAGCTTCAATGATTTTTATTACCATGAAAGTACTTTATTTCTATCTACGTACAACTCTACCTGGTTTTTGATAAAACATATGGACCAAATATTTGTTTATTTTCTGTATATTTGAGGATGGGCTTTTGTGTTGCATTTGTGCATAATCCAGTCCACTTTGGAAGTCTACTCTTTAAATGTCTTGGTAATCCATCTCAAAATCTCTATATCCACCCAGATGCAGAGATGGTTTCATCTTCTGCTACTGTACTCTTTTCCAGGAACAGTCCAGGGAATTAGAGTACAACTCAATTAACATTCCCCTATAGAGAACTGTAGAGGGATAAACAGGGCAGATGCACAGAACAAAATGGTGGTTTTGGATGTAGCAAGATCATAAAATCTTTGTTCAGAAATGCAAATAACAATGTATTAAGGAATGCCTGGTCCACAAAGCCAGAGGTAAAATAAAAGAAACAGTTCATACACAACAGAACTGTTCTTTTAGACTCAGGCAGGCAACACTGCCTTAAATTATTCTTGATTCATCTGTTCCAGATGATCTTCACAACCATAAGGGATATTTCACACTAAAATACAACCTGAGTTTTTGTAGCACAGTTCTGGGGAAGGTTTGGACCTCAGTGATGGCCATCTGAGGTATGGTATTACTAAGACACCAGTGAAGTTAATTGGAGTCCCACACTGTATCTTTCTGACATTTTTCTAAAATGTGTAGGTGCTAAATGCTTGGTTAGGTTGAGAGATGATCTTGCAATTCAGTCTTTGTGAATCTCAAGTCACTGTGCCTCATAACACATGCATTTAAGCTGAAGCTGACTTCATTTGATGCATGGGGAGTCTGATTTGAAAAATATAATCATGGCGTTAACAAGCTATGGTTGTGTTTGTAGCTATGCAATGTCTAGCACAATGGTCCATGTTTGTGGCTCCCAGGTGTTGCAATAATACTATTAACAATGGATTCATAGATTGTTAGGGGC